AGAATAAACTGCTCGGCTATACGTTAAGTGATCCGCGACAATTCAGGCCAGTTTCCGAATTAGTTGCGTCTGTATAGAACTGAATACAATCTGTCGGCCCCGGAACGTCATGAGTGCATTTTCCTGCTAGGGATTTCTACTTTATATCCCTTATCGAAAGTTGAGGTTGGTCGCAATAGTCTGTCGATTCCGCCAGGCCTAGCATATCCGAAATCCACTTTCCAGTTAGATCATTACCTCAGTCTGATGGCTGGTGGTGTAGAGAACTGTCATAGCTTTTCGCACACGGTCAAAAATGTTTCGTTGCCGGTTTATCAAGCGTGAGTCTCAGATATTTCACTGAAAAGAATTCCTGTTAGTTAAATAATACTAGCTCCGTTTTGTTTAGCTTTACTGCTAGGCCCTTTTCGGTGGTCCACTTTTCCACCCTCCTTGCTTTTAGCGAGAGTTTTGCACTTACGACTATATTGCATTCTTCCTTTCCCTTCATGTGACTGAGCATTTGGTTGGAGATAGGATTCCCCCTTGCGGCATGCCCCTGCTGATACGTCTGCTCGTCGATATTCCAGCCAGATCAGCCTGAACTACCCTGCATCTTTGCATTTAGTCTACGAGCGTCACCAGTCGCGAGTCACAAGTCGACGCCCAAATCCCTCAGTGCTAACTATTGAGGAAAAATGTTGTTGAAAGCGCCCTCTATGTCTGTGAATTCCGTAGCTTATTTTTTCTTAAGTTTTTTAAGTCGATTATAAATTCGCTTTTTAGCCAATAACAACGCTTTTAGTAATCCCATTCACAACTTTGTTTCTTTCCATGCCCCTATGGCCTAAACAGTTTTATTACAATTACATATGCAGCCTTCTATTCGTCGCTAGGCTCTTCACTACTTTCCTGTAATTTCAGCGGCTTTCCTCAACGCAAAAGCCTAATTAAGCTATTCTGTCGTGGTTGGACAGTAAAAGGTTGCTTAATATCTACTACACTGAGCAAAAAATCAACCAAAAATTGGTAAATATTAGCAAATTCAAACTTGAAAAGGGATCAATATGATTCTCGGTTTATATTAGCAATGCCTTGGTTGATGTTTTCAACAATGATTTGGTAATATTAACCACGTTTTTGTTTCCATTAACCAAACTTTTGGTTGTCGATTTTTTCGTTTGAATACGCTTATGTTCTGCACTTCACAGATGCTTTTTCATAATTCGGAATTACAAAACAAAAATTGTTATTATCATTTTAACAAGTTGCCTCTGGCGAGATTTGAAACCGCATCTTCTTAATGTTAGCAAATAACAGCAAGCATCTCTGCACACTCAGCTACAGCCGCATTATAAATCTGCTTTCAAATGTTCAACTTGAATAAATTTTCTCCGACATTTGATTTGGTTCTACACTTCACAGAGGCTTTTTTGACGTACTGCTGAAAGCCAACAATTAACAACAGGCACCTCTGCACGTTCAGCCACTGCCATGCATACAAATTTGTTCTCAAATGCTCAACTTGAATCACATTTCTTACAATCGGCTTATAAACCATGAGAAAATCGAACCATAACTTGGTTGAAAAAACCATTGTGCTTTTGGCTCAGTGTATACATTGCTTTTTGCAGTCAGTGTAGACATTAATCATAGTCTGGAACGCTTTCTCCCAATTAAAGTGCGAAGCCACGTAGCCTGTGTCACCAACATTTTTCTTGCCTTTCGAGCTATACCCGAAGATTATCTGTGAGAATTTTTCTTTCGACGCTAATCTGACGGCTGATTTTGCTGCAACATCCTCTAAATTAACGTCTATATACAGAAAATTCAGTATCATTGCTAGAGCATTGCGTGTTCAAGACCACCCCAACTTAAGTACTTCGTGCATTATTTAGAGTCTGTTGCTATTACTTAATTTCGGTGGATTTCATGCAAGGACCTTATACTTGCTTGTGAAAGAAAAATATAACCACACATCAAGGGTGAAGGAAGAAGATACCATATTATCCAACATTATTGAGGTGTGTGACCCTAACTAGCTCTAAAGAGCCTTACATAGAACGAATAATCCAGTACCATTGAAGACTTGAAACCAATTAAAGACTCTGTTAAGAGTCTGAGTGTCTGGAGATGCAGTCGCCTTCAATGAGCAGGCTGTCCGACTTGAAATCTTTAACCAGGCATAGCATAGGTTGAAGTAGCTGCCAGTGACCCCACTAACACACCTAGGCCCTTAGATTGTGGCCTGTTGTGATGCCAAGCGCATTAGACCCTCCTACTCACACCATCGTGTTGATTTCGCGAAACCCTGCTGCTAAGTACCCACTGCTCAACATCAGCTGATCCTTCGCCTATTTTTCGCCCCATTTTGGCCACGTCAGTTTCGTATTGCTGACATATAATATATGCTAACACTCTCAGCTGCTTCCAGATCATAGTTCCTTAATGCCCGATTCCTTGTGCAAAACATCGTAGTTAGGCGCAAGCCCTTAAGTTCAGTGTTCCACGCCTAGAGCTGCTGAAAAATTGCGATTTCGACATTTTCCTCCACCAGGAAGAAGTAAACATTGTCCGCTGCCAGCTGGAGGTTTATTTAGACAACCTTCAGACCCACTTTCAATTTAGGTTCTACACTTGGATTGGCGAGAAATATGCCTTCTAGTAGCTTATTGGGATCGTCGACCACGTCATACATATCTACATATATAATAATGCCTATTGCGATATCCGACGCGAGTGAGAAGCGGCAGATCAGTGCCTATGGCATCCCTCGGATACATGCCTATTCTGAACCGACAGATGCCATTCGCTCGAATCTAACCCTTCACGCTTGTTATGACAGTGATAATCGGATAAAATCCGTGCAGATGGAATCCGAAATCGGCATGAATATTTCCTCAACGCCTTCGAACAGAGTTGATGAAAGAGATCCGATCTAACATGCATGATTGCCGCAATTTCACATCTAAAGCTTAGTATCCAGCACTCAAGAAATATTTTCATTATTTCTTTCGCTTGAAATAATAGCAGGCTGGTAAAAATACCTTAGAATTATGTATTACCAAATGTTTGAAATTTCTTGAGAGCTGCGTACTGGTTTAAAAAATTTTAACAGAGAAAAATTTTGTTTATCATTTCTTGACCTTTTTTAAATTAAAAATTTTTGTTTTTGTTTTAATAAGGAATCTAAGCTTAAAAAATTAGTAGAAATACGTTAAAATGCTTTTTTAGTTTTTTTAATTTCAGTGGGAAATATATACAAAAAAAAAAAAAAAAAAATCTGTTTTTAAAATTTTATTGACTGTAACTTTCTACTTACTGCTTAAGAAAATATACATCCCCATTGTTGTTGCCATTAGCGTGTGTATTTTAATATTAAGTGCTTAGTGTAATTTACTATGTATATGTATATGCTGTTATTTAATTTTTTTTTTTTACATTTTTTCTACTTAGTTTAATTAAATAACTCCCTTTTTCCAGAACCCTTACCTTTTAGTTTAAGTCCCTTAAGTTTATGTCCGCTCTTTTGTCGACCAAATTCCAAACCCTTTCTCTAAAATGGTTTATGCAAAATGACAAAAACATAAAATTAAAATAATAACACAAAAATTAAAAAAAAAAAACTAAATGCCTCATATAAAATTAATGTCCTACAATCCAACTAATGTATAGTGAAGTTTATGTAATAAAAAAGTTCTTAATTTATAAATATATAGCTTCTTATGAAATAAATCAATTTAGTTAAATTCTTTCATGTTTTTTATCCTCCTAAGCCCCGCTTTCAAATGCCCTGCCTTGCCTTGTCTTGCCTCGCCTCGCCCAGCCACGACTCAATCTTTTCACCTTACTTATTTGTATAATTTAGTTTTCTTGAAAATTGCACTGTTTTTTTCTAATTCTATTTTGCGTGCTGCATGTTTTTTTCGAATACGCATTTATTTCTTTGCTAAATCCTGAATGTTTAAATATGAAAACAAATGGAAATCAAAATGTGTTTTTCGCACCCCAAAAACAGAAAAGCCATTAAGCAAGCGTGTGAAAACAATGTTCTACCAGTTTGATTTTTATTGATTTGCCAGCTTAGATGCACAATTTTTTTAGCTCAATTTTATTTCAAATATACAAAAAGGAGAAAAGCTAACTAAATGTGGATTTTATGAAACAGAAAAAAAAATGTGAAATTTACTTACCGCTTTATGGTTTGAAGAGCACTAACACCCCTCCCCAAAAAAAAAACTACTTAGATAAATTTTAAAACCAGAGCGTTTTAAATGAAAAGGAACCAAAAAATATGCGCAAAATTTTTTAAATAACACAAAGAAAATTGCAAAATCTAATTAAAATGACGAAATTGAAAAATTTAAAAATTTCCGGAAATGCTGAAAATGTTGAAACTTGCATAAACCATTGGTGATTTTTTAATATTATTATAAATATTCATAAGTTTGTATAAATTTTGTTTTTACTATATTTTTAAGTTCTTTGCATTGAATTTGTATTGATTATTTATGTTTTTTTTTACTTACAATATCATTTGCTAATTTGTATGTGAATTTTTTTCTTTTTCATTTCTTTTCATTGCTTTTGCGTTGCTTTTGCGATCCATGTTTTTGCGTTTGCGTTAATCTTATGCTGGAAAAAACAACAAAAAATTACAACATAATAAAATATAACTATTATTAAAAAAAACAATAAATATTATTAAACCACATACCCACATAAACCACAACAACAACAATAAAAAATTTACCGTTTGGCTGCTACCAACCACATCAAAAAAAAAAACATAAATCGAACCAACAAACGACTCCAACTCATCCACCGCTAATAACTCAAAACCCAAAAAACCAAAAAAAAAAAAAAAATTTTTTTTTTACCACACAATTTGATGAAAAAAACCAAACCAAATTGCAAAACAAATGTCACAACAAACTTCATAAAAAAATCAAACTGAAAAACAAAAACGAAAACCAAACTTGTACGTTCCATTCCATTCCGTTCCGATTTCCTCCACTTAGTACCAGGTGCACCGCCACGCAATATCACTGCCATCGCCACCAGTCCCACCACCATATCCGTATCTTGGCTGCCACCGCCAGTGGAGCGCGCCAACGGTCGCATCATCTACTATAAGGTCTTCTTTGTTGAGGTGGGTCGTGCCGATAGTGAGGCCACCATAACAACGTTGAATAAGACTCACATCGTATTGGACGAGTTGAAACGTTGGACCGAGTACAAGATTTGGACGCTGGCCGGCACCTCAGTGGGCGATGGGCCGCGTTCGCATCCGATTATTGTGCGCACGCATGAAGATGGTATGTATAAGTAAGCGAGTGTTTCGCAAATAAGTATTTTTTTAGTTTTGAAAAAATTAATCATGAATTTTTCGCTATAATGCAGAATATTTCAACACAAATTTTGATTTTTTTTTTTTGTTGTTAATTTGGAACCCCATTGAAAGTATATGAATGAAATTTATTTAGTTTTTGTTGGGCCATTTTTTTCTGAAACATTAAAAGATGTTTTTGGGGAAGTGTCCCTATTTAAACACACCATTCATTATTTTATCAGACAAATTATAAAAACATTTTATTTACCTAATATAAAATACATTGAACATATTTAAATTTTTTCTAATTTTTTTTAATTGGTTCCTCAAAAAAATATTAAATATTTTTTGTTAATTAAGAGTTTGCGCCTTTTTAGCATAATATTAAAAAAATATATATTTTTTAACAGAATTTCAAAATATTTAATTAATTTTCCGTGAATATTTTTAGTGCTATTTATGGATTTAAAAAATAATTTTTCTAAAATATTAAAATAATTTTGCAGGAATATAAATTCAGTTTTAGCAGTTTTTAACTTGCTTTACTTTTAAAATGCAACTTTTTTTGAATTTGATTTTTAAAAACAATTTTAATTTTGTAAGTTATTTTGATGTCTAAATTATTTATTTGTTTTTGTTACTTATGGCCTTATAACAATGTACTCAACAATTTTATTGAGTTTGAGGCCGTTTTTAATGAAAACTATTGTGGATTTATAAATTTTTGTTGTTTTCCACAATAGTTTTCATTAAAACTGCCTCAAGCTCAACAAAATTGTTATGTCCAAATTTTATTATTTAAAAAATTAATGCGAATTTATTTTTTACTCGTTTGTAATTAAAATTACATAATTCTTAGATTTCCTTAGTAGATATATTTTTATCTTTTTTAAGATTGTATTATTAATAAAAATTTTTTTACAGAATCTCAAAAAATTTCAAACTTAAACTTTATATTCTAAAAATTAATATAAATTTTCTTTTAAAAATTTTGAGCTACATATTTTGAATTTAATTAAGGGTTTTTTTTAGAAATTTAATAATTTTCAAGACGAATCATTTAGTTTGTCAAAATAAAAATTTGCAGAATTTCAAATACTGACTTGAATTCAGATTTTTAGCAAAATTTTCTTCTTCGTTAAATACCTTAAACTTTTTTGAATCTTATTTATAAAAATATTTTTATTGTGTAATTTAATCCTTTTAAAGCTGGAACTTTTTACTCTAAAAATTAATGAGAAAAAATATGCTTATATTTAATTATAAAACTTTCATTTACATCGATTTTTTATTCAAGAAAAATACTTTATTTTATTACAAAAAAAAATTTAGATTCTATACAAACATAATGGATTTACGTATTTTATAACTCCTTATTTTAAATTTTATATTTATCTTAAATTTTTCTAAATTCTGCATTCCAAATAAAAGTATTTTTTTTTTTTTTTTTTAGTACCTACATTAAATAATTTTCCAAATATTTAATTTTAACACCTCACATTTTTGAGCCAAAAACAAATGCTTAGTTTTCTAGGTTAATATTTTTGCATTTTTTTTATGCCACACAAATCTTATTTTACACAATTTTGAAACTCAAAAATATTTTTTTGAAACTTCAAAACAGTTTTGGTTAAATAACGTTATTTCATATTCCCCACACACATTTTTTGAAAAAGTTACATTTTTTGAAAAATTTTAAATTACTGTTTCTATTACTGCTATTGGATAAAAGCCGTAATACGTATAATTTCGAAAACACAAAATTTTTTAACTTTTTTTTTTTTGTATTGATGTCCAGCTCTAATTTTTTCTGCCCACATCTATTTATATATGTATATCCTAATTTACTAATGCAACAATGACATTTTTTGAATTTTGTCTCGACATAAAAAATGCGGCATACATTTTTGGATACAATAAAAAAAAATTCCCCCCCTCGTTAATTACATTTTTTATAGGTATTTCAGTGTTTGGATGGCGCGCTGACAACCGAATTTTTGATGTCAACGTCATAAACATGAAAAATATTTACATATTTACATACTATATATATATATATGTATAACCGAAATCATATTTAATATAATCACATAATCCATATAACAAATAATCACATATTCTCATTTTGCTGTACTTAGTTTTATAATTGGTTTTATGTGTTTTCTGGTTATAATTATGTATCTATCATTTGGTTTTTAGTATTTCTTATATTCGAGTTTTTTCGGTTATGTATTGTGATATAATTTTCGAAAAAGTCTTTGAAATGAAACTCTTTGGCATGTAAAAAAGTTTAGTTATAAGCGTGTATTGACGAACAGCGCAGAACTTTGGCTCGGCATGGCGTATGAGTGATATTATAAAATTAAAGCAAATTCACTTGATTTTAGGACCACCAGACTCACTTTAGTCCAGCTACTTACCCCCTACTATATTAGTTTGAGAGTCACCTGGTCCTGGAATGTATGTTAAGTTAGATGGGCGTGTGAGTGCGTGCCAGGATATGCTCATTCCCAACTACACTACTAGCATTAATCTGGCCAAACTCTCTGACTCTCTGAAATCAAATTGTGGAGGTCCGAGAGTTTTCGTTTAAGCCATCTCGATTGCGGCCAGGACATCGACACAGAAAGTAGTCGATGGATCACCTTTTGTTTAAGCTCTTACTGCAGATCTATTGAGTTTCAAATGGCCTCGTAGGCGATGTTAGTCTTGAGCTTTCACAATCACCTAAGATACCTAAATAGTGATTTATAGTATTTTCTACTACGCATCTCATAGTCATCTAACCAGCAGCTGTCTTGTTTCCTTCTATACATATATCTATGTCCGGGAACCCTGGAGCTATTAAGCAGATGAAAAAAAACTGATTGACATATATTCAGCCCAGTACTCAGGAAATCCGCGATTTCCCTTGATTAGGTTTAGTGTCAAATGGGTTGGGGGTACATTAGAACGTACCACCACAAAAAATGTTAGAGGGTGACCCATACATTCGACCAAGAAACAATTTCCCAATGGACTTGTAAAAATAATTTAGATTCGAAGGTCTACGGCGAGCTCATTTTTCTGGTACGGTCTAGTGTACATATGTGGCATATATTTTTCTGGCGGATCGATCTTTATACTTTAAGTTTTTATTATTCCGCGCCGGCCAGGCGATAGTTAAACCGAAGTTTTTAAAACTTTCCTCAGAAGGCCTATTTCGTCGGTTGAAATGAGATATCCTTATCGGCTCAGTGAATTGTGAGTCCCTTGCCGCACGTTCTTTATAATGAAGGTGCATCATCTACTATTTATTTAACCATTCTTTCATAGTATTGACGGATAAATAAAAAAATCTTTAGTATCAAAAAATGGTTAAATAAACAATTTGGTATTGCTACTGGAAGAAAAGTTTTCGGATCGAAAAATATTGATTTTCAAAAATTCCATACCATTTCTACGAAAAGTTTTTTTCCCCATATAAAATACATGGAAAACCTTGAGCACTTTGAGTGACCTCTAAATATTTTTTGAGTTCCAAATAAAAAATAAGGTTATATTTGTGTCGATATAGAGCAATCCTAGGGGGTGAGTGCATTAAAGTTCCGACTTTACTTATTTTGGACCACCCTAATGTATACTCCACGTGCGGCTGGACTCACCATCCTGAACAGTCGGGTGGATTTATTCATTAAGGACAATAATGAAGAGCAGATTTTGGTGTATGTAAATGAGTGATCGTTTATATACATATTTCAACCACCTACAAACATCCCATAGTAAAGTTTTCTCTAAAAAACGAACTTCAGGTCCTTCTGCCTTTATATTACTCACTGGCTTATCGCAATTCTCAGTGTTTTGCTATAACAAAGAGTTTTGTAAAAATACTAAATTTTTTCTTTAAGTTTTTTTTGCTTTCATTTGTCATTTTTCAGTGAAATGATTTTACTTAAAAATTTGTTCTGTTATAAATCTTTAGTTTGTTGTAATTTCTACGAATGCTTTTAATATTTTTTAGCGTGTTTTATATAGGAAAAAAAAAACAAACAAAAAATACACAAAAATTTGTAATCACAAATATTGTTTTTCCAGCGAATTGAACTGGAATTTGTGCAAACCAAAAATATTTCGCTATACTGGCGATGCGATTTGTTGGCGCGTTGTAGCATACATACTGAATTGGACTATTGATAACAAAAAAATCATACATAACAGTATTGTAATTCCAACTCGCACTTTTTTGAAAAAAGAGTATACCCAAAAAATAACTGTTTATTAACTTACCCTATTAACTTTCTTTGATTTATTAATTTAAAAAAAAAAGTTGTACGTTGCAACCACACTGCGGCTGACGCCCACACGTCGAAATGCACAGTGGTTTGTTAAACGATTTTTTTTTTTTAACTTTGTATTAATATTATTTTAATAAATTAATATTTGATTTTATAAAATAATTTTGTTCGCGTTCTTCATGTTTTGTCAGTTTTTATTAACTGTTATTTTATGTGTTCAAAAAAAAATTATAAAAAAAATACTCGTTACATTGGCACAAATTGCATATTTTTTGGCGCAATCACAAATGAATTTTTGCATTTTACGCATTAAAACGCAACAAATATCAATGAAAAAAACCACAAAATAATAATTTTATATATACCTACATATATACTATGAACTATGTGTTAGAAAGCAAAAATGAAAGCATAAAAAGTTCCATTTAATTGGAAACGATTTTTGAAATGCACTCTACTATTTATGTATGTACTATATAAATACCTGCAATATTCGTATTTATAAATGACACTTCATATTTTTTGTGGTTATATGGCATAGCACTAAGTTATATGTAGTAAAGAGCAAAAAAAAAAAACAACAAACGAAAACAAAAGCATTATAATTAAAAGTATAAATTTTTCATTCGATTTTACACGCAACCCAAAGCACAACAAATTTTTCCCTCTTTATCAACTACTCCTTTGTTCGAAATATTTTTTTAATTAACTG